AAAAAAAAAAAAAAAAAAACAATTTGGGTGGAAATTTTTGTATCCAATCACGCCCTTAGTATTTCCATTTTTCCCTTTTCCTGATGTCACTATGTGTGTGTGTGTCGTGGTTTTCTTTACGTTGTCATTGAAACTTGTTAACTTGTTGGTTATTCAGCTTTTTTCCAGATAGGGAGTCCTCTATACTCTGCAAAGTCCGTGAGATTTCGATTAGGTAATCTGAAACCCTTAAGCGATATTGGAGGAAGACAGCTCAAAAATCTTGAAAATCTGGACAAACCTGCTGACGACATGTTTGAATGGACCTACACTTCACCTGAGTTTCCCATGAATCAGGTCTCATGTCATGTTTATTTTCAGTTCGAAATTTAAAACTCTTTTTCGCTTCTCCAGTAATCACTGAAACTCAAACAAAAGTTGTTTAATTTGGATGTTTGTTCCGATGATTTTATTTTGATTTCAACTCTTTTCCGCATAAAACAGACGAATGTCCTGCAAAAATTTGAGCTACCAGAACCCATCCTTTGCATCGAGGGATATTTACAGATTGAGCTACTGGGCAGAGTTCAGACACAAGAAATGGATGGATTATACTATTTGTGGTTAGTTACAGATACCGTTTTTCTTGGGCAAATATCGGTTATTAGGGTGTGTTTGTTTATCAATTATTTCAACTCATACTCAATTCATACTCAAAATCTAACTCAACTTTAACTCAACCCCACTATCTATAATTAAATAATGTCAACCAACCATTCTTACATATCACATAATTTTAACTAACAATCACCTCACATCATCTCTCTCATACTTTTACATCAAATTAACTTTAATTATTTTATTTTAAATTTTAATCTAATATAAATTCAAATTCCACTAGCAACTGATTTTTTTATTTTTTATTTTTCAAAATTAACCATGGTTAACAAAAAAAACTTTTTGACCGGATATATTTGTATACAATAACAAACACGCCCTTAGCAATCAATATGTGCACATTCTCGCTCTCTTTCTTTCATTCTGCAGCGTGTGTTACGTTCGAGCCCTAGGCCGGTCCCTTTCTCCTGCATTCAACATGGATGTTCTCGAGCCATACGGGTTCAAGAAGCTTGTACTGAGGTACGACCCGGAATATCTGGTCCCTCTTCTAGAATGTTCCTCGAGAGAGGATTTGATCCGTTTGGGACAAGTGGAAGATGACAGTAGAATGTTCGAACGCTTGGGTTTGCTTCAGAATGTGCTGCTCGGGTTCCGTGGTGGCGAGATTGACGATGAGGATGACTGAGTTTGAATTCTGAAATATATATTAATATCTTTTTTTTTTTTCGAAAAATGGGCTTCTATCTAATGTGATGCAAAGTGACTGTAGTCTTGTGCATAGGAGGATATATGTTGTGTGACTTAATTCATATGTGTTGTACTATTGACATGATTTTTACTAAGTCTAGTTGCAGATTGCAAATTTGGTCTGCATGGTGTGTGGGAGAGATAACCATGTAGATATATTCCTTCAAAACAAT